CCATGTTTCTGTAGGTGGGAAATGAAAATTATATTATTACAAATTCATATTATGAAAATAGGAAATGAAAATTATTTATTACTAATAAAGGCCCTCTGGTAATATTTACACATAGTAGTAATACAAGAAAAAGGAGGTGCAGCTGGCCTTTGGTTACGAGCCCAGCCGTGAACATTGAGTGTTAGAGCTTGAAGCAGTTCGTGCCTCCCTCGGACAAAGGCAGTGACCCAGCAGGGCTGCTCTGGGGCTGGGTTTGGTCCCCGCGCAGCCGGTGCGCCCCTGCGCCTCCTGCTCGCTGGTACCAGTTTGTTGGGTGAGCCTTGTCAGTGGTGGCCTGAAGTCTGAGAGTAAGCGGACTGGTGGCAATATCTGCTTTTTTACTCCTTGGGGAACTGCTGAGAGAAAAGGAAATAGCCAGAGAAGTGCCCTTTTGTAAAATATTCCCTTCTGAAAGAAAAATTTAGCAATGGGGTATCTGTGGTGCTGGTCGCTAGAAGGGACACTTTTTATTGAGGACACTGAATGGGGGAGGACATTTCATACAGTGATAGTATTGAAAATGGATTTTACACTGATGAACTTGATTTTATTTAGGTGGTGCAGGCAGTTAGTGCAGGGCTAATGAAGCTCACTCTGCTTTACTCTCGAGTTACAGCAAGGTTAAGCCTGGCAATATTTACTATTGTGAACTGAGTGGAGGTAGCTGATCTGCTTCCAGATCTAATCCATTCATGGAAACAACATAGTCTTTGGTACGGTATTGTGTAAATAATCAAATAAACCTTTTGATCTCAGTTAGTTCTGGGGGGAGGAAAGCCCTAGGTGTCCACATCTGGACATCATTCGCACGTATACTGACTAAACCTCCATTGATAGGTCGGATTTGGCTGAAGTTTGTTTTTCAGGAGCCCTGTGTGTTTTATGGTCCAGCTTCCTCTTCTGACTATGCAGGAGTGCTAAGCTTTCACTAGTATAGTCAAACTGAAAAATGTTGAGACTGGTGGTTGATTTCTTCTAACATAAATTAATGCAGTGAGAGGCAATCCAGTAGTTTTCTATTAGTATTTATATTTCTATGAATGTTTATATCTAGGCACTCATGAATTAGGGTTAAGTAGCTACTGTGGATATATTTTAGGACTTCATTGGATTAAAATAATGGAGCAAAGAAATTGCATCTTTGTCTCATTTGACTTAAATTCCTGTTGGACCTAAAGACACTCTTCACTGGGGACACACAAAATAAAGAACAATTTATTATAGGTTAACCAAGAGTGAGAAAGGAAAATCAAAACACAGGTACAGGGAGGTGAAATATTGAAGGCTCACTCTTGAGTGGAGAATGGCCTCCTAGTGTCATTCACTGCATGGTGATAGGTCAAGCTGCTTCTCCTCTGCCTAGGCTAGACAGGTTTTCTTGTGTTCCTTTCCCCAGGGAACTGGAGGGTATTGAGGGACGATGATTAGTAGTCTGGAGAAATCTATGAATAAAGACGAAAAACTAAATACATACAACTCAGCTAAATGATGAAGTAGAGCACTTTTTTAAAGTCTAATATGGCAGTACTCATTGCATTTGTATGGGAGTTTGATTGTTCTGTGTGATGTGGCATGGGACATGCTATGTTGTACTGTGTTTACTCAGAGTAAATTTAATTCTTACTTGTAGTTAGAAGTTAATTGAATGACATCCTCAGAGTTCTGCCAGATGTCATTACAAAAGTGAGGACATCTTTTGACATTAGATTTTTTTCTATTAGAAAATCAGAATTGTGGTTCATTTTGAAGTAAACTCCACAGAAGAACCTCAGAAGGTGTTAGTGAAATAAGACAGAAGTCTGGCAAACTGAAATAGCATTAGGTTAAAGATGTTCACTAAAGAAACTGTAAAGGAGTTTCTTTGAGTTTCACAATATATGAAGAGATGTTTCAGAGTTTAAATTTTAAGATAAATGTTTAATCACTTTTCTTCTTGCATTTTACATTATGGTTATGAATACTGGAAATATTCAGTCTGACTGGGTTTGACTGGAAGGTGTATTTGACTGCAGAACATACATGAGTTTTTTCTGTTCACAGCAGAGATGCTAGGAGGCAAAGTCAGAATGGAAAGCCGACCTGCACGAGGAAGTTAGTGTATCCGCTTTGCCTGGATTTATGTCTGGTTTACTTCAGTTTAGCTTCTCATGGTTAAGTGACTGGCACATGTGAAAAATAATTCATATGCTACACTCGCTCCTGTTTAACAGAGACTGACGTTACACTAATCCAATTAAATGACTTTCTCAAAGCCTCGTAGACTCCTCTGGTTTACAGCTTCCTAATGTTCAGCCTGTTCTGCATATTTGACCAAAGTGTATGCATAAGAAGAGACTTAATGTTTTGCAGGAAATGTTGGGAGTCCTTTTTTCCTGTTAAAAATTTGGAGTAACAGTCTTTCACAGCATTGAAGGATCAAACACTTAAATGCCTTTTTATTCCATTTCTTCTTCCTGAGTTTTTCCATGTAAATAAAGATCTAATGTGGTTATATCGCCTTATTCTGTTACTGTCTGCCAACTTCTAGCACTGACAGGAAGCTGGTGTGGTTCATTGCTGTTCCGTCTATCCAGTAAGAAGCACTTTCAGTGCCACTCCACGTACGGTGTGAATCTTTGTTTAAATAGTATTGTCCTTTTCTAGGAATATTGTCTTGAAACCGATCACTTGATACAGTCCTAATTCTTTAAAATGAGCAGACTACCAGCTAGCAAAGCCCTCTGATCCAAACAGATGGGAGCTACCACTAGGAAGCCTTGCCGGACGTGGGCATCTGATGAGGAAGTTTTGCCAGGGTGAGTTCTGTCTAAATGACTGGGACAACGTCATGCCTGTCCTGCTGGGCTTAGGAGCCTGTGCTACTAAATCAAAGGCCCCATATCTTTCCCATCACAAGAAACCTACCTGTCTGTCATTCTGTCACTTATGGCACCTTTCTGGTAAATTTTTTGAGTTTTTCTCCAGTTCTCTCACAATTTAGCTGGCTATAGATAGTATCCAAAGTGTGTTCATTCAAGAAAAGTGTGTTCTTCTGGAATCGCAAAGGGCTGTTTATAATTAAAATAGGTGGTTAAAATTACTGATTTCTTGGCCATAGTTTCATGGATTTCGGGCAGACTCTTGGTAGTAACTATATAAATGTGAAAAAGGATTCACTATTTTTCGTATCTTTGGGCTTCAATATTCACAGTTGCATTCTGCACTCTTAATGAATTTACATTCTACAAAATATCTAAAAGTTGACCCTTCAGTAGAAGAGTCCTGCTGATACAGAAATAGCTAACCAACTGCTTTCTTAATATTTATGGGTAGTGCAAAGAAATTAAAACACGCGCCTAAAAAAAAGTACCATTCATATTTATACTAGGCTAAAGGATTTTTGGCAGAACTATTACCCTGCTCATTATATGAACTTGGTTGTCTGATCTAAAGGTAATACCAGGTGTAAACTTTGTATGTTCCTCAAGTACTGTCTGGTTTGACTTCAAGATCAGAGGGTTTTTTTTGTGAGAGAATGACTCTTCTAAAATTGTCTAATTTGTTTTATAAACGTTTTTGGGAATATCAGTGCTTAATGCATTGTAGTGAAAATTACTGTGTTGGAAGGAAGAGCAAACTGGAATATGCGTTATCCTGAGAACCTGCATTTAAATTCATCTGGGAGGTGTCAACTGTCTTTGAGTTCTGTGTACTAATTCTAACATATTTTATGATGACTGCATATTATGGGTGAGATAAAAATGTTTTTTGCTGTGTGTGTGTTAGTTTTTTTGTCTTCTTAAAATACATGTCATGTTTGATGGCATTACAATAGGCAGTGTATTGCTGCCACAGTGGTGTTTGTGTTATCTTGACACATTTATAATCAAAAGGCATGCTATGCTTGAATGCATTGGCTTAAGGTTGTATTTGTGAAAGCCAGAAGTGTGTGGATTGTAGTTCTTTTCGTTCTGCTTAAACAGTAATTGTTCTGTCTCTGAAGAAATATCTCTAGAAATACACATTTTTAGCATTATTGTTATAGATATGATAAAAGGACTGTAGTAGAACAATGTGCATATTGAATCTTGATACTGATACTGGTTTATAATTTGGGTGGGTTTTTTTTGTTGTTTTAAGAAGAGCAAAATTTACCTGATTTTCACTTCTGACCTATGGGGAGCAGGTATCTATGGGTCTTGGTGAAACAGGAGAAATCAGATAAACATGCTCTGAATATTTTGCTTCAGTGGTGTGGGGTTTTTTTTCCTCATGTCAGTGAAAGCTAGCGGAAAGCTCTAATAAATCAACCTACTTTGGATCCCTAATTTAACTTAGTTTTAAGGCTGAAAGACTGTATTTTTTTGTATTTTCCTGAAAACCTGCTCGTGCCATTGACCTAGTTGTATTTCTGCCATTTTCTTCCTCTTCGCTAGAAACGTTGAACACTTTGGAGAACTGGGTGACAGATTCTTTTTCACAGATTCCAAATAAGTGAGATTTTTTTCTGATATTTTTCATGTCTGTAAGCTGTGAAACTATGTTCTAAACATGCAGAATTTTATGCAATTTCTTTTCCTTGTACCTACAGAGGCTTTAATTCTTACTGATTCCCTTATCAAAGAAACTGCTTTCACTGTCTAAATGAAGACAATATAATCTATGGAAGCTATTGAATTCAGAAAAATGTTTCTTTAAAATGTATTTGATAGCATGTAATGTGTTCCACGGTGTGGCTCTTGACTTTACATGTAGATCCCTGTTATACCTGTGTTACTTCTTTAGTTGCTGGGAAGAGAATTATATTCTAGTTTTGAAGAATGTTAATTTGTATGCCTCTGCATTGTGTGAAAGATAATTAGTATCAAATTTAGCTGAGCTGGCAGTTTGTTGTGGCCCTTAGAGACAAACTGGCTGTGGATTTCTATGTTAATACTAAGCTATGCGTTGTAATACAGTATTTAGAAAAGACATCTCGTTTTGTGTCTTGAAATTGTGATGTGACTAAGTTGTATCTGCTTCTTTAAAAATACAGCTTTGTAAGAAGTAGCATCTCCTGTTGTGGTGCCAAGTAAAATGGCCTTACTACTCTCTGAGGTACGGTTTTCCCTGCTCTGCCATGCTGCTGTTGCCAGCTATTGACAGAAAGACATTCTTTGCAAACACACGTCCTTGCTTACAAGACAATACTCACTGACGATGACTAAGTAAACAGAAATGTGGTGTATTGGCATCCCTGTTAGAAGAAAAAAATCCTAAGCCTAGCATGGACTCAGATATGTAAATGAGTGTCTGAGAAAGAGAAAGATTAATGGAAATTAATATAAAACCGGGCTGGAAGGGACTGTCAGGAGTTACCGAGTTCATCCCCCCGTCCTCAGATAAGATCGGCTGGGTCCCATGTGCATCGTTTTGTGATTTTTAATGAAGCTTTTTGATTTTGATTGATTTTGATTCTCTGCTTTTTCTATAGATGGTTTTAGTGACAAATGCAAGTTTATCCTGTAATTTACTTTCTCATTTGACAAGTCAGCTCCCATATGAATCTATTCGGTTCTAACCTGTGTGATTTGGCAATGCTAGAAGTTGGTGTACTAGAACTGCTAGCTGTAAAGAGTAACAGGGGTGTGGTACAGGTGAATCCATCTCATTATAGTTTATTTCCACTAATAATTTTTTAAAAATATATTACTTAAATTGGGTTTTCTCAGGGTAGAACTGTGGCTTCAACTTACACAAAATATTGTTTGCTCTTACTTAAAAATAGATGTGTGTTAATTCTCATGTCAAACTTTTACAGAGATATTTATGAGGGCTGACGTGGGGAAGCTTGTCTCCAGTGGCTTCTTCTGAGATGCAGAAAGAATGTGGCGCATCTTGGCTGAAGTAAGCCTTTGTGAATTGTTCTCTAAGTAGTTCCCCCAAAGTGTTGGTATTGCATGAGAAAGAGGTGTCTTACATCACTACATGTTTCAAGCTCTTCTTTCTTAGAAATTAGCCAAGTGCTGTATTCTGTTCGTGTGTTTCTGTGGAAGCTGACAAATCTGCCAAACTGTTTGAGGGTTCCCCAAGTGGCAGGGAGCGAAGGTACTTGTTTAACCTTTAGCCCATGATCTTCTGTAAGGGTGGGTTATGTCTACAACAGGGCTGTATGTCTGTGGAAATAATCAAAGAATCGTTGAACATTTTACCTCTTTGACTGAAATGTCCAGGTTCCGGTCCATGTCACCTGAAAGGACATCTTAGTTGTGTTGAGCTGCTCAGGATGATACTTCAGACCTGGGCTACTAAGCAGCTGTTGCTTGCTTCCACGTGGCCTTGCTTTGTCCTTAGTAAACATTGTGCTAATTTTTTTTTTCTTTTATTTGAAATGGTTTACCGAATCCAAGTGTTGATCATCTGACAGAGCCTTGTCGCACACCAGAATTTCACAGACTTTACAGGGTGAGGGACTGGGGGCAGTGCATATATAAAAGAAACTTTTAATTTTAGCTTTAGAGATGTGTTTATGCTGCTCTGAGTTTATGCTGCTCGTGTTCTCTGTTTTGCTTTGACAAGAAGCGAAATTGATTTTTATTTCTTTCTAGCATTTTTTACCTGTGTTTCTGCCTAGTTCTTAATTGTTTTTGCATTTAATTTTTTTTTTCTCATGCTTGTCATCTCATCTAAACAACTCATGTTCTTCCAGTATCTTTGATTCCAATATTTGGTTCTTTGCTTTTCCCTTATTCTATAAAGAAGGAAACTAGTCTAGTAGATCAGCAGATGCAAACATAAGGCTTCATTAGCAAAAAGGTAGAGACCTCTGGTACGTCCTGTCTTCTCACAGAAAACTGCCAGGCCTTACTTGTCCCTTGCATGCGTCAGATTTTCCAGTCTCTACACCCATTTGAAAACTTAACCTCAATAAAAAGACATCGCTATCCTTTTGCATAGATAATTGTACCTGTGAGCAGTCTTTGATCTGGTGGATGCAAAAGCACCATCCATTTCCTGTGCAATCCTTATTTGTAAAACCTTTGTATAATTTTCAGAGATCCCTAGCAAGAAGCAGACAAACCCTCAACTTTCAAGAGAGCCCTTGCAGATAGACTTTTAGGTGCATGTGATGTGCTGAATTCAGTCAGGGTTGCCATGGCAACCTTTTTCTTCTTTATCCAGAAAAAGACTGCTTTGTCAGTAAAAGTACCCTTTCACAGTACCCTGTGACTTTTGTTCAGGGCTCTCACAGCTGTTAGAAGCCATAGATAAGCGGGCCCCGAAATCAGCAGTATCGCAGGGCCTCTGGTGAATCTTTGCTCACTTAATGTTCTTTATCCTTCAGCTGCAAGTATACCAGTAGTTATTCCCTCCACCTTCTCTACGTTTGTTGGGGAAAAGACTGTCCCTTCCATACTGCATGGAGACATATAATTTCATATTCTGGGCTTTGAGCACTATTATTTTATAGCTAGGTGATACAATTTCAGTTGTGCTGTTCTCCTGTCCACTTCCCCTGATCTCAAAGAGTTCTTGGTTGTCTTTTCCCAGAGTCTACTTTGTTGAGCATAACTGCTCTCCTGCCCCTAGGAGCCATCAGATTAGTTCTGTTTCATGTCACTGACAGTTTTTTTCAGTGATAAAAAAGAAAACAGGAGGATGGAAACCCAAAGTGAGATGAAAATGATGATACAGACTGTAGTAAACTAATCCCCTTCCAGAAGCAAAGGAGTTATTTCTCTGCGTGTAGATCTCATAATAAAGTGATTTGACTCTCTTTGAGAAAATTATTCTGGATTTCCAGTCAGTCAGGATTACTGTAACTGTAAGTCTGTCCCATTAAAGCATGGGGATGGTGCATAAGCAGTGCCTTATTGACAACGTTTTCAGAATGGTGGATGGCGGCTTAATGAATTAATGTCTATATACATTTCCCCATATGCAAGTGCACATGCATATGGGGTTTTTTTCTACATTAAATAAAATAACTTGCCCACAGATGGTTCTTGGGATTAAAAGGATTGGAAATAACACATTTCTATTGTCAATGAATAAACCTATTTTGCAGTTATCCCAGTGCACAACATCCATCTGTTGAACAGTACTTGGGCACTGCCCCCACAAGAGAAAAATAACAGGTAGAATGATGTTTAGACTATCATTACATTAATCATGTAATTATTATTAATTTACATTCTAATTTGATGTCATGCTGTTTATAAAACAGTTTGTGAGGAGAATCCAATAAATGATCAAGGCCTCACCTTGTGGTAATACCACAGGAAAGGATAATTTCAGGAAACGTATTTTGTGCTTCTGATTCTTTGAGAATAGCATAAAAAATGGTATCAGTATTAGGTCTAATACCGCAATGCTGACATAATAGATATAATATCCCATAGACATATCTCACTTTTAATGATCTTCATTGTATAGGCCATGAACTATCCATGTGTGTTGTAGGACCTCTGAGGAGATGCAGCGCTGGTTTGGATGGCTGGTCATATCCCAGCCTTCACTGCTTTTAGCCTCGGGGTCCCCAGCCCAAATATCCACTCTGGTTTCAGCACCAGCCTTTTCGGCTTCCTAGCCTGCGTGGCCTTTGACTCAACTTTGAGGGAGATGTTACAGATCTCTGATGGTACTTACAGAAGCTCCGGTGTTGAGGTTAGGAAATGTGTGCACGTTTTCCCCTCTATGGTGGCACAAAACTTGGATTTAGGAAGAGCAAAAGAGCTTCAATACTTGCCCAATCACTTTGCATCCTGCAGTGGAATAAGAAAGGTCAGGCAATAACTCATGTTCAAAAAGAAGACTTCAGTAGAATGAATTTGGTTTATTTAATAGTAAAGAAAAGGTCATGTCTTTTGTTCTTTTATTTTCACATAAATTGATTTTGTAAAGTTGAAGTTGGTTTATCACTGTTTGTGTTCTATGGCTTTGATATTTCAGTACCGGAGAAAAGGTCATCTTCTTAGTGACTACCTGATATTCCATGGTCCATTAAAACTGCATTATTTCTGCTGAAGCTGAAGTTCTTTTCTTTCTTGCATTTTTTTCTCTTTTCTTTTTTTCCCCTAACTTTGCCTGTCGCAAGTCAACCCCGCTCCAACTGGCTACTTTGTCATGCCGTCTAGTATATTAGAGGTGCCTGCATATGATTGTATCTTCGTTTTATTTGGGCTGTGGAAACTTGAATGTCTTGGCTGTGCTAGCCTGTACGCCATTTAGATTCATGTAGATAGTTTTCATATTTTGTTCACTATGCAAGAGCTCAAAGAGATTCCCACTGTAGTGTCTTTCCTTAGGGGAGTGAATTGCGTTACCTGTCTCAAAATGAAGTGTCAGCAGAAGACAGTGACCAAGTATTGGCATTTTTATTGTTTTATTGACATCTAACTTCTCAACATGAAGCTGCTCCAAGAACCGAAAGTCTTTCTAACAAACAACTCAATCTATTTAATCTTATTTTAAATATCCCCCCCTCCCCCACCATTCCCGATTTCTAGTAGAGATCTAACTAAGAAAATATGAGGGCATCTCAGGAGTCCATCTCACAACCCCACTCAATGCTGCAGGCTTGGGGAGGAGTGGCTGGAAAGCTGCCTGGTGGAAAAGGACCTTGGGGTGTTGGTCAACAGCCAGCTGAACATGAGCCAGCAGTGTGCCCAGGTGACCAAGAAGGCCAGCGGCATCCTGGCTTGTGTCAGGAATAGTGTGGCCAGCAGGAGCAGGGCAGGGATCGTGCCCCTGTACTCAGCACTGGTGAGGCCGCACCTGGAGAACTGTGTTCAGTTTTGGGCCCCTCACTACAAGAAGGGCATTGAGGTGCTGGAGCGTGTCCAGAGAAGGGCAGTGAGGCTGGTGAGGGGTCTGGAGAACAAGTCTGATGAGGAGCGGCTGAGGGTTTTTTAGCGTGGAGAAAAGGAGGCTGAGCAAAGACCTTATTGATCTCTACAACTGCTTGAAAGGAGGTTGTAGTGAGATGGGTGTCAGTCTCTTCTCACAAGTAGCAAGCAGTAAGACAAGAGGAGACAGTCATAAGTTGCACCGGGGGAGGTTTAGATTGGATATTAGGAAAAATTTCTTTACTGAAAGAGTGGTCAGACATTGGAACAGGCTGCCCAGGGCAGTGGTTGAGTCCTCATCCCTGGAGGGGTTCAAAAAACGTGTGGATGTGGCACTTTGGGACATGGTTTAGTGGTAGAATTGACAGTGTTAGGTTTACGATTGGACTCAATGGTCTTAAAGGTCTTTTCCAACCTAAATGATTCTATGATGCTATGAGAGCATTTGGGAGGCAGGAACTACTTTGGGGCTTGCAAGACTGGTAGTAGTTAACACCGAAAGAAAACCAGAAAAGTCAGGAACTCCAGCTCCAAACCTTGCCACCCTTCCTTCTCCTCAAAGCTTCGTATTTTCTCTGTATAGTCAGAAAATACTATCTGGGATCCACAGAGACACAATACAAAATAAAACTATGCTACCATTATTACTAAAGTGATATTCTGTAGGATGACAGTTTTTATTGAGAAGCTTTTTAATGTAGCATTTATATACTGTAAGAGGATATTTTGTTATTGTTTTAGAGGCCTTTTCATTGCCTTTGACATAGAGTGGCAACACTAGCATCTATAAAGATAATGGAAACGGATAAAGACATTGTGCCAGTCTTGAGCAATTTACAAACTGAATAAACATTAAATCTTTTTTCACCAGAAGGGTGGCTTTTTCTGTTCTTAATACAAAGTGACTACAATTCCAAGTTCTCTTTAGTTTTAAATGTAGTTCAAAGCACGCAAGTTGGTGAAAAAACAGAGCAGTCGAGAGGAAGAGTATCTGCATACGGGAATTGAAGCTGACAGTGTTTCTGCAGTTGTTTTTTTTCTTCTCACTCTTTCTTGCTGACTTTCTTCCTTCCTCTCAGCTTGTGTACATTTCCACCTTATTTCTTCACAGGTCTGCAGAGAGGTAAGAATATGTCTCTGTAACCTGCCTTGTGGACCAACAAGTCACTCAGTTGGTGGGACAACTCGCATGACTGGCATGCTGTCATAGATGGCTACAGACTCTTTAGGAAAGACAGGTCAACAAGGAGAGGTGGGGGAGTTGCTCTATATGTGAGGGAGCAACTGGAATGCATTGAGCTTGGCCTGGGGGCAAATGAGGAACAAGTTGAAAGCTTGTGGGTTAGAATTAAGGGACAGGCTCACACGGGTGACATTATGGTGGGTGTATACTACAG